GAAACCAGTTCAATGCCCCCAGTAGCATCTCCCAGATACTCCCCTGTGCCTCACTTCTCTCCAGAACCCCTTAAACATGCGGCTCCAATGTAAGGAGAGTCCTAGCCCTGCCTGAAGGCAGCTGGGGACAGCAGACACTGGAGTGCTGACATAAAAGCTGTTTGCTTCCAGCTTTATTAACTTTTAAGCCTTTTCCTGTTTTCCCATCACGGCCAAACCCACCTCTTGGCAGACACTAAAGTTTGAATTTTTGAATTAGATTCCTGAACAGTGATGAATACAGATTTGGGACCTCAACAGAAGAGATCCCAAACTATCAGCACAAGCTAGACTATTCCAAAGGGATCTGTGCCGAGAGGAGGGAGGCGGGGTGGGGTCTCGTCCTCTGGGCCTCTTGGCCTCATCTCTAGGGAAGGACACCATCTGCTCTGGGCAGGGACTTCCAGGCTGGGATGGCACGGCGTCTGCGGCGGGGGTACCGGCATCACCCGGCGTGTGGGCAGGAGCCGGTGGAATCAAGGGTGAAGTTTCTCGGGCCTTCCGCCCACAGTCACGCCCGAGGGGTCTGTGTTCTCACTGGCTCACGGAGGTCTTGCCACCAGCATTTCCACCAGCCCAGTTTCCGCCCAGGGAAACTGAGGGAGAGAAAGAATGGGATTGATGTCTTCAAGGCCACCATCCTTCAAGTAAGATAAACACCAGCCTCAGCCCCATCCCGACTCGACTTCCCAGCCTCCCACACTGAGACGCATTCATTCAGACTGTTTGCCAAGCAGCGCTGAGCCTCTGAGGGGCCCCCTGAACATGCCAATGAAAGGAGCTTTCTGTGTGTATCCGTCTGGGTTGTTAAAAAAAAAAATCCGTCTCTCCCCCATGCTTGTCCGTCCATTAAAAACTCAGTGTTGAGTGAAAAACAACAACTCCAAACAAACAAAACAAAACAAAAAACTGACTCTATGTTCCCAACCCATTAAAGGAATCAGTGAGCCTTTTCTCCCAAACATCGAACATACCTGAATCCAAACCCACTGGTGGATTCAGCCAGTTTTTCCTTTTGGGCAGGGAGAAGGAGGAAGTACATTAAATAAGCAATTTGTTGTTGTGAAAAATAAAATTACCAATGGCCTGAGTGAGCTCTCTTTTTGCATTTCTTTGGTGCAGTGTGGAGCCAACATCAGATTCTGAGCATATAAAATGGGGCGTTTCAGCTCCTCCGGAGATGGGGACGCTCACACCCTGGGCCAGGTCAGAGCTCTCCACCCTCCTGGAGTCTGTGGATCCCACTCTGTGTCCAGCAAAGGGGCCCAAGGCTCCCCCAGGACGACACAGTGCACAGAAGCCTGTTGATTCACGGAGTTGAATATTTTCCTTATTGCTCCAAGCCAGTGCTCCGTGCTTTTAATAGACCAGGGAAGGACTGAACATCGAACCTCGTTCCTCAGCCCAGGACAGCCACAGGGCCCCACCTTGGTGACAAACATTCAGCCTTCCTCTACCAAGATGAGGGGTAAGAGTGGAGCGTTGACCGGGGGGTTGATGGTGTGGCGTGTCTGTTAGAGGAGGACCAGCTCCAGGCAAACCCAGGAGATGTCACAGCCGTCCTTGCTGGACGTACAGTTAGCATACGGAAACAGTTCCTGAATGAGTGAACCAGTGAGTTATGACAGTGGATGAACAACAGCATGAATCCTGGGCTGCTTCTCGACCAAACGAAACGATGAAGCAGCTAAAACATGTCTTTAGCATCCCAGAGCTTTCTGCTTTGCGCACCTTCTTCTTGGCGATCTCCAAGAAACTACTCCCCTTGACACTGTAGCAAAACCTGCCCTTGGGAAAGCCATTCACAGCCAACTCTGCCAGACTCATGGTGCTACATGCCATCCTTCCCACGGATGCTTGCATTCTAAAAGGGATCAAGTTTCTAAAAGGGATTTAAGCTAAGGACTGAATCTTGTTTATGGAACTTCAGCCATCAGCCAGTTTGCAGGGCGACAGGGGTGTGTATCAAGATTTGGAGACATGTCTGTAGGGCTTGTCCAGCATCTCAGAAATCTTAAAAGCTACCCCATTCATTCAGTCTTTGCATAGTCAAGCTGGCTGAAGGTATATCGTGTGCTCAACCTGCTCCCAGCTGCAGGGAGCTCACGATATCCTCAAAGGGGCAGAGAGATGCCGTAGCTTAAAAGACATTGGCTCAACCCTTTAACTGCAGTGGGATGGGGAAAGGTGGCCCTAATGCCGGCAGGAGACCCAGCCAGGCAGGGGGACAGGGAAGGGGGTCTTCAAACTGTGATGTACACAGATTTCCCCTGGGGCACGTCAGCACTGGATCAGTTTCTCAAATCCTCTATGATTCTAAGTTTTCCTCTAAAACTGCTGGGAAAATGCAATGCTTTTTCATCATAACCCTTCTGCCACTTACAGAAAAAAGGCAGCTTCTCATCCATCCTGAATTTTATTATGGAGTATTTTTCTGGGGTGAAAAAAAATCTTCTTTAGCCCCAGGCCTGTGATGTGGCACATAGTCATTCCCTGTTTTGCATACCTGCTGTTAAGTGCGGGGCTTGGCCCACAATGACGTTCTGAATTCAGGATCCTAAGGGCTTGACCAAGGGATCGGTTAGCACTCACGTGCTGACCTTGGGAACTGACATCCGGAGCCTCCTCAGGTGACGCACTGAGAAAACACGTCCTTCTGTGGTCATCCAGCCAAAATGCACATCTGGATATAATCGTGAGGAAAGGGCAGACAGACCCATAATGAAGTACATTCTATAAAGTAACTTATCTGTTGTCTTCAAAAGGCATCAAGCTCAAAAAGGGTGAAGAGGAGGGGAAGCAGAATTCCAAGATCTTTGGGGGACAGACAACCAAGTGCGACGTCAGGTCTTGGATTAGATCCTGGGGGGGAAAAGAAATCTATAAAGGACATTAAAGATACAATTGTCAGAATTTGACCATGGACTGTAGATTAGACAATAATACTGTTTTAATATTAACTGTCTTGATGTTGCTAATCGTACTGTGGCTACAAAAGAGAACGTCTTTGTCTTTAAGAAATCTACCCCCTAGATAAACAAGATTATACTGTATAGCACAGGGAAATATATACAAGATCTTGTGGTAGCTCACAGCAAAAAAAAAAAAATTGACAATGACTATATGTATGTTCGTGTATAACTGAAAGATTGTGCTCTACACTGGAATTTGACACAACATTGTAAAATGACTATAACTCCATAAAAAAAGCTTTAAAAAAAACTATACTTCAATACAAATAAATAAAAGATTAAAAAAGAAAAAAAAGAAATCTACCTCCAAGCACGTAGGCCTAGAGAGCACAGTGTCTCCACTGCTCTCAAATAATTCAGAACAAAACCAACACGCAAATGTACAGAAATGTACAGATAACGATGAAGCAAATGGGGCAAAATATAAACAAAATTTGTTAATCTGAGTAAAGGGTATATGGGAGTCCTTGAACTATTCCATCTTTTCTGTAAATTTGAAATTATGTCAAAAGGAAAAGTTGCAAAGAAACATACAAGGATATCTGGGCGTATGGTAATTTTTCTATCTTCCTGTTTTCTTTAATGAACGCACAGTTTTATCATGAAAAAAATCAACAAATGCACATCATTTAAAAAATTCGTAAGTGATGGGGGTGTGAACAAAAAATACTGCAAACCATATCAGTAAACAAAGAATGCTGAAGCCACCAAGTTATCAGCCACTGCCGCCACCCCGCAGTGGAGACAAGCCTGCAGCCCTGCCTCTGCAGCCTGAGGGGACTCAGAATGTGAAAGGACAGGACACTGGCCCTAGATAGCCAGGTGCTTGTCAAAGGAATGATTTCAAGGAGCCCAAATGTTTGCTCCCTCCCATACAGAGAAAAGCACTGAATTCTTTAACTTGAGATGCCTGGTTTTCTTCAGTTAACAATTAATCTTTTCATGTTCCGACTACCTGGTCTTTGTTGTAAAGCTCCTGTATATCCTGGCTCCTCCCCTACCTCTTCGGTGCCGCCCCTCAGAGCGATCTGGGAGGGGCTCGAAGGGATTGAGTCCTCAGAAATGTCCACCAAATAAAATATAACTCTCAACTTTTAGGTTGTGTGATTTTATTTCAGTAGACAGGGGAGGGTATAGCTCAGTGGTAGACTGCATGCTTAGCATGCACGGGGTCCTGGGTTCAATCCCCAGTACCTCCTCTAAAAATAAACAAACCTAATTACCCCCACCTGCCAAAATGAAAATAATTAAATAATACAGTAGTAAATAAACAAACCCTAAAAAAAAATCTGTGAGGGATGCCGACTCTTTGAAGTGTAACTGGAAAGTTTCCCAGGTCTTCTATCAAAAAATGTCAAGTTGTATGGTTAAAAATTCATAGATAAAAATGTTCATATCATTTTTTTCATGATCAGCATGCTTATTCACTGTGTTATCAAATTGTGACATAAAATATTTCCCAATTACAGTCAGTCTTCATCTTATTTCTTTTTACAAAGTGTTTAATATGTTCCACCTCCCATTAAAAATATACTTATTTAATTCTATGATGAAAAATAATTGGCACCCAGTTTTTCGAAATTCTTTTAGGGAGTCTGCAAGCAAAACTGTGTGCATCCCACTGGAATAGGGCACGTGATAGTTTGATTCTGACAATAGGAGGGACTGACAACTGGGGAGACACCTGGAGAAAGATGGGGCCCTCTGGCAAATAGAGGTAGCCCAATGGGTCAGAAATCCAAGCCAGCTTCCTATGAGTGGGATGGCAGGAGCCAGCCTCCAGCTGGGGTCCTGATGCAGAACACTAGTTCCTGGGTGGAACTGGAGATAGTCCAGTTTCCCAGGGGGGCCTTGGGCCCAGGCAGCCAGACAGGGATCCAGGGGGCTCTCAGAACCAGGCCCAAGGGGAGGGTTGGACCAGCAGGGGATGAATTGATGCCAAGTCCCTTCTCAGCTGGGTTTCCTTAAGCATAAAGGAGCCAGTTCTATTGGGTTCACGTCAAGAACCTCTGCCCTGGAGGCTGGGGCTGGCTGAGGGTTCAGGTGGGCAGAGGTGGGCACTGGAGGACTGAAGAGGCTGAGAACCGGGCAGGGCCTGGCAGAAACGACCATCACATCAGTTACACACACATCCTTGCTGTGCATAGAAGCCTCCAAAGTGGGAATAACACACCCATTTTATAGAAGCAGAAACTGAGGCTCATGTTGGCCGAGGCCACCATGGAGCTGAACTGTGATTCCTAAACACTGAGGCTCTTTCCAACAAAGCGAGCTGATGTGGGTTCCTTCCATCCCAGCACAACTCCCCACCTGCCACCCCTACCCTCAGCCTCATCCCATTTCTGTTAAATACATTTGGGGCCCAGCTCACTCACCTCACTGCAGGATTTATCCCTGAGTCACCGAGATGCCTTTACTATCGGAGATTCCGTCTGGTGGTATCTCGGCTCCGGAGCAGTGTGTGTTTGGAAGCAAGAGAAGATGCTGAGAAGTCTTCCCGGGCAGCTGGGGAAGCTTTGCCCACCGCTCTCGGACTCTACAGAGGCCTTGGAGAATGCACGGCACATGCGGGATCCCAGCTGCAGCATCCCTCAGGGTGGAGAGTCCTAGGCTGAGTGCTCTGGCTCTGCCCCTTCTCTTGCGGTAGCTCAGTTCCCCCGCTCCCCCAGCTCCCCCCAGCTCGGGTTGGGGAGAGGCTCCTACTCCTTAAAAGCAACTTGCATACCTCTCCTTCCAGATCCTTAAGCAAGACACAGCACTATCCAACAGGCTCACATCCTGTAATAGAGGGATGGTGGCTCTACCACTCGTTCTGGACGACCCGGATGATCCATGTGGTCTCTAAACCAGTGGATCTCAAAGTGGAGCCCCAGGATCCGCAGCAGCAGCAGCAGCAGCAGCAGCAGCAGCAGCAGCACCTGAGAATTTGTTATAAATGCAAATTCTCAACAACCCCCCTCCCCAAACTATGAGTCAGCAACTCTGGGGCAGGGCCCACCTCTCAGCGTCTTCATCTTAACTGGGCAAATCTGAGGCACACTTGCTTTGGAAACCACACTGCTTCGAAAAACTGATTTCTTTAGATGTAAAATGGGTATTATCAATATTCTTAACCCAGAGGGTGTCTTGAGGATTAAATGAGACAGTGCTGGAGGTCCTGGGTAAAGGTCACTGTTACCTTAACCAGTCACTGCGTTCGGCGCTCAAGCTGTTTCACAAGAATGTAGGAATCTTCTGGCACATACACTACTTGTTTCCTTCTTCCCTTATCTGGGCTGGTCTCAGACTTGTCTCATTGCAGCTTCTTTAGTCTAACCCTGAGTCATCCAGGTGCACGTGGCTCCAACCCCTTGCCTCGGGGCCAGCCTCCCCTCTCTCTCTGCTGCTGGAGTTGTTGAGGAAAGTTCCCCACTAGGCCCAGACACTCCCAGTTACTCAGACCAACAGCACATGGCCCTGTCTATAGATTCCCCACCCTAGCCCCTCTCCCCATCCCCAGGATGGCCTCCAACAGGATCCAACTCCCTCTGAACTCCCCCTCCTCCATCCTCTAAAAGACCAACCTTGTAGATTCCAAACACATCCCTGTGGGGCTGGGGGTGGGGGAGCTTCCCCTTCAGTCCTAATGCAGCCCCAAGCAGCCTCTAAATGAGCTGCAGTTAACCCATTCTCCCACCGAGGCTTCATTTCATCTCCATTTCCAAGTGAAGGCTGTCTAGCTTTTTCTTCCTTTCTTCCTTCCTTCCTTCCTTCCTTTCTTCCTTTCTTTTTGACTTTGGAGTGGATTTGCATCTATTCTCCATCTAACAGGACAGACGACACATGCGCCCTTCAGTCTCTCAACGAACATTACCGGTAATGCAGTAATACCAATAAAATGCATTTGCAGGATGGGGAAGCAGGTTCAGAGTATCCCATCTTGAGTCTTCTTAAGTTTCCAACGCTTGACTCCCCGGGGTCTGTTCCTCCTCTTATTTCAGGGCTCAGCTCCTATAGCCTTTAGCCGCAGGACAAGACTTCACCTGGGAGAGCTTTAGAAATGCAGACTCTCCCTATGAAGTTGCACTCACTACATTTTAACGACCCTCTCAGGGATTCAAAGGCTCACTGCTGTTTGAGAAGGGCTGCCAGGGGGCTGGGTTTACTAAATATTCCCGTGGACACCGGCCTAAAATATGAATTCCCAAAGTTCTGATTCAGAAGCAGGAGGTGGAACTCAGGAATCTGAGCTTTTTGAACAATCTCCCCATGTGATTCTGATGACAAAGTAAATTTGGAATTGGGAGTTTAGAAAAAGGATCTGAAAACAATCAATTTTCACCCCAGGATGGAGCTTTGGAGCATTAGTTTTCTGGTTCTTTTTGACAAGTGGAATTTGTGGCATCTGGGAGTGGACCACCTCTCCAACTACTCCCCTTAAAAGAAAAAAACTAATTCTAATAGTTCAAAAGGAAGTAAAATTTAAAAATATAAACTCTCCTCCTGTTGTTAACATCCTGTACCTGAGATCAGGGTGAGATTGCTTAAACCGGTGAAGTGAGGACTTGGGGGCCAAGGTCCAGGATTAAAGGGGACGAGTCCTAGACGCAAGTGCACACAGGTTGGTAACAGCTGGGCCCTTTGAGGTCCTCGGGCTGTGGCGCCGCGCGGACTGCGCGCGTCTGTCCTGGGCCCCCTCGGCATCACAGCGCCGTATCCAAAGTAGTGAGAGGCGGATCTCGCGCTCAACCCTTATTTCCCGAAACTGCCGGAGCCACCGAATCTGCCAAGCTCCTAGCCAATTCTCCGGGGGCAACCCCCCGGGGGTGGGGGTGGGGGGACGTCCGCTCGCGGCCTTTGGACAAGGGCGCAATTTACCAGCGCGAGCCGCCCCTGGCCCACCCAGATGAGGACGGCCATCAAATTCAATATTTACAAGAACAATCCCGTGCTTGGTTCTAAAATTACTCGCCACACAAAGAACAGTTTACTTCTCATAAAAAGAAAAACCTAAGCTTGTGTCTTACTCTTTAAAAACGGAATAATCAAGCTTAAAAATTACTCCCTCCCCCCCCAAATCACTTAATCGCTTGCGCCCCTTTTCGCCCGGCCGGGGAACAGAATAAAGGCCAGTTTTGCCCGGGCTCGGTGCCCCCGCGGCCGCGGCCCTGTAACTTTAAACCTGGCCTGAGGTCATCGTTTTGGCGCCGGCCAAACAGAGGCAGAGGGCGGTCCTAGGGAGTCCGGGACTGAGACCACCTTACCGCCGGCTCTCCCCGCCCTCGTCGGGGGAGATAAATGCTGACTCCGATCCGAAAGTTGCCAGCTGCAAAGTTTGCTCCTCCGGCGGCGGCGGCTGCGGGCGAAGGAAGCTTGGGGACCCCTCCCGCGCTGAGGCTTCTGCTCCCCGCCTTCCAGTCCCTCACCCTCGCGCTGCTCCAGACGAGGGCCTGTGGCTGCGGGGAGATTTTAAACAACCTTTCCCCCAGCACAGAAACTAACTGCTTGCCCTCCCCCGGCCCCAAAGAACAAGTCAACTAAGAAAATGTGGAAAGTGCCACTTCTGTTCTGCGTTTTGGGAAGCGCATCGCTCTGGGTCCTGGCAGGAGGTAAGACCCAGCAGGCGGGGCTCCCTGCAGCTGCTGGTGCGGACGAGCGAGCCGGGACTTGCGGGAATGCCTGGGCCTGGTATGTGAGGTTGCCCAGGAGAACAGAGGGGATCCGGGAGTGTGTGTGCGCAGGAGCCTGGAGGACCCAGAAGAAGGAGACAGCGGACTTAGCTGGTGCCAGGTCCCAGAGGAAGATCTGAGCGGGGTGCCGGGGGAGACCCCGAACCACAGGCAGCAGGTGGGGAGCAGAGGGAGCCTCCCACTGAGGCAACCCACCTCCTGCCACCCCTGGCTGGCTCGTAAGAGACAGAATGCAAGGATAGCCACCAGGAGCCTGCCACTGGTGGGACCCACCAGGCTTTCCTGCAGGGCTGTGTCTCGGAGAAACACCCGTGGCCTCAGAAGAAACTGGCCCCATGGAATCTGGAGGGGCATTCTGGGTCCCTGGGGTGGGGGTGAGGTTCCCCCCGGGCAGCGATGGTCTCCCTCTGGGGGCTGCCAGGTCTTACACCCAGTGCCCCTGAACACTGGACACAGTCAGAACCCCATCAGTGGCACAAGCCCCTGGGAGAGGCCTCCTCCATTGTCCTCTGTAAAGTGTGTGTGGAGGGGACTGAAATGGAGGGTCCTGAGTGCATGAGGGAATGGAGGACCGTTGTGAACTTTGAAGTTTAAGTTCCTTTGGGGCCATGTGTCCAACAAGGTCAACAAGGTGACTCCTTAGACCTTCGCTGCACTGTATCTGATGGTGGGGCCATCTCCCCTTGCCTCTTCTTACTTAGACCCCCTGCCCTTGCCTCTTTCTGCCCAGTGTGCTGTGTTGGTGGCATCCATGCATACTGGTCAATGCTTTATCTTTCTTGGGTTTTTATTTGTATCTATAAGCTCCCATAGACACAGCTATGTCTTGGCCTTGATTCCCCAGGGCCCCGACAATATCCAGTGCATAGTAGTTGCTCACTAAGTATTGGCTGAAGGCATTGTGAGCTAACTCGTGATCTTTGGAGTTGGAGGTTGAGGAAGGAAAGCTCTTACATTTTCCAAATTGAGGATCCAAGTAGGCCTGGTGCCAGAGGAATCCTGCTTGGAGGGAGGGGTTTGAGGGAGAAGTGGACCCGACCTAGGCGTCTATAATTTTACACAAAGACAAAAATACCCAGCCGTAGAGAAGTGATACAGGGTGTCTTACTCTGTGCCAGGCCGTCTGCTTCGGAGAGACCGAGCAGCACTCTTTGCAGGGCCTTGGGCTATTCGTGGCTGACCTATCTTTGGAACTTCTCTTTCCAGGGAGATATACATGGCTCTGCGTTTCAGTTACATTTCCTTTTTGGGGAGACAGTGTATAAATGACACTATTTTGTGCTCACCAGGGCAAGGTGTGGGAGGCCCCCAAACTGAGCACCCCTGCTCTGCTCAGGAAAGAGGGCCAGTGGGCAGCATCCTCCGTTTTCTCCCCAGGGGCAGGTTAACTGTAATTATCTTTCAGCCAGTCCTGAATATCAAAGGTACTCCCAAAGAATAGCGGTAAACCTTGTCTGAGAAAACAGCCACCACTGGTAATAGAAACTAGATTACTAAAGACAGAAGGATCCCCACCCCCTCCCCAGGGCTGCGGGACTGCGTGTGGATGCAGAGTTGCTGGGCTGCTGGCAAGGAGCTGAGGCCCAGGAGGGTTTTTGTCTGAGGATAATGAGGGAGGCAACTTGAATATGGATGAATAACTTCATTGAGCTGAGCCATTGTTGGCTCTGGTTGGGGAGCTGGGCTGGGGGTAATTATGGTGATGAATTTTATTATCCTTCTCAAAGGATCCTCCTCCCCTCTGGGTTTCCCTCATCTAGTGCTGTAATCTGGTTCAGTTGTATAATCTGGTCCCACGTGTTGTCTCTGGAGATGTCAGTGGATTCAAAGGAGCTCTGTTGTCCGCACATCTGGCATTTTCCTCCATTGTCAGGCCCCACCGTCACTCTGAACTTGCATCCAAAACACAGACTTCAGGGCCTCTCCATTAGATGGTTTATTTCTGCTAAACGCTGCCGGCTGCTATGTGCTAGAAGCCCACATGAGCTTTTCCGGGACCAATCCACCCAGGATTAATCATACAGGGAACAAATTTCCCTGTAATTTCCCCAAAACGCTTGCCAGTTTCAGAGGCTCTGAAATCTTTGTGAGTTGCTAAGAGTTTTTGTTGCACTTTAAGGCATCTCAGGTCTGTTAGAGCCTACGTGAGGGAGGCTATCAATTACACTGGCGTATGAGATCTAAAGTAGCATTTAATATAGAAAAGCAAATTAAAAAAAATTTTTATCGAAGTACAGTCAGTTACAATATGTTAGTTTCTGGTGTACAGCACAAAGTCCCAGTCATGCATATACATATGTATATTCGTTTTCATATTCTTTTTCATGAAAGGTTATTATAAGATATTGAATATAGTTCCCTGTAGAAAAAGCACATTTAAAAAAAAAGTATCCAAGCATGAGAAGGCTAAGTTGGGACCTAATGAATAGGGAGGAATCAGGCTGAGCAGAGGTAGGAGGCCCCTTCTCTTTCTCTGGCCTCTGAAATGAGTGGCTGGTGAGTAACTATACCGAGAATTACAAAGACCCCAAACCTTGGTGTGACAGTGGATGGTGTGGCCAAGTACGAGGGACACCACCTCCCTCCATTCCCATCCCCCACCACATGCTAGGAATGTCACAGTTCCCTCATTTTATCATCACAGCTCCTTAAATTATACATTATTATTTTCAGAATATGCTAGAACCGGCATTCAAAAAGCGGGCCTAACTCCAAACCTCAAACTTTTTTTTTTTTGCTAAGCTACACAGGAAAGAAGAAAGAAGGTTGAACTTGAAATTAAAGGTTAACCTCCACTTTAAACTCCTTAAACATGAAAACAAATTTTTTGAAAGGTATCAAAAGTTCCTTACATTTAATACGCATCGTAATATTCCTTTAAGAATGAAGATGTCACAGTCCATTAAAATAGGATTCGTTAATTCAGTCCCCAGATAGTAATGCAGCATTTCCTGAAGTGCGGGGTACCGTGCAAGATGCCGATTTGAACTGTATGCACTTTTGAGGGAGGCTCACCTAACCTAACCTGAAGCACACCCTGCAGTCCTCACCAGCAAAACAACAAACGTGTGCTTTAAATTCCAGTGGCTTATCTGAATATTTGTCATATTTCTGGCTTCCAAGAACAGACATGCCAGATTACGACTTGTAGAAATATTACGGGGGAGGGTGGAGAGAGAGCAGAGGCTCGGATACCTGGCAGTGCCTTGTGAAACTCACTTGAAGAAGCTGTATCAGACCCTGCAAGGCTCTCCAAGGAATCTTGTTCTTTGCATATGCCAAGGAAATCTCCAACGAGAGTGCTTGGTTGGAAGGGAATCAAATGATTAGGGGCCAAGGGGGTGAGTTACTGAGATAAGCCTTAGGATTCCCGCAGGGGTGGGCGGACCATTAATAGCCCCTTTTGCCTGGAGTTCTGAATCCTTTCCCTACTGATTTCTGAAACATTCTGGGAAAGGAAAGTGATGGGGCATTTTATCCGGGGGCTGTGAGGTGGAGGCAGGTTATGGAACAACTGGAATTTTGCTAACTTCATCCAAGGCAGGAAAACAAGGGGACTGTTTCCTTCCCTCCTGTCTCACCCCAGCGCCCACCAAGCAGCCTGCTTCAGGCCGGCCAGCCCACGGCCAGCACCCCTTGAGCTTCCACAGGTAGGGATGGATGGGCTCTCCCAACTTTTCACCTGGCCGAGTGCCTTTTCCTCGGGAATTGCTCAGAGGAGATGAGTTTATCCTTTGAGGGGGAATCACGCTAAGCTCGGAAGGAAACTTGCAGACCCAGCCACCCCATTCAGCTAGTTGTCTGAGGAGCTGCAAACTGAAATTGTCAGGGCAAAGCTAAATGTTATGCCAAGGGAATTAAAAAAAAAACCAACAAACCAAAAAAACAACAAACCTACCAATAGGATAATCACCTTTCCGGAGGAAGATGTGCTCTCGACCTCTGTTCAGAGGGTCAGTGCTGCCAGGGCTCCAGGCAATAGAGAGACATTATCACTGAGCCACAGTGGGGTAAAAAAATTGCCATTGTTACATTTGTAGTAGGCAGGGGAATGGCGGTTACATAGACATACAGATGGGAAGCAGGGAAGGGTGGCTGGAAGATGCGTAAGCATGTTGCTAATGAGAGCAGAGTACTTCTGGTAATTCATCACCATGTCTCCATCTGGGTGGGTAAAACACAACAAAAAGCAAGGCTGCAATCCAGTGAGTGGTATCCTGCCCAAAGGAGAGGGGAGTTTGTTTGCCTAGATTCTAGATGGAAGAAGTAGATTACGATGTTGAAGCTGCCTTGCCCAAGGAGTGCATTGACCTAACAAATATTTACTAAGTAACTTCTTTGTGAGTCAGACAAGGTGAACGTTATCCTTGCTAACGGCTAGTATGCCGGATGTCATATCTGGTGGCTGTAGGGCTTCTGATGTCAGTCAAGATGTTCCTATGATGAATCAGGGATCCCTGTTCTGTCACAGTCGGGAAATGTGTTCCACCCAACTGCCCTGCCCCTGGCCTTGATTCTGTGCCCACCAGACAGCTTCTCAGGTATTTCACTCTTGAGAAGGGCATGCCTCGAATAGCAAATATGCATAGAGAGCACTGGAACGCTCTTTCCCTTTCTAAATAAGCTGTTTGATTTCCTGGCCTCTTGGGAGTTTGGCTAGTGTGAAAGTTTCGTCTGAGATCATCCTATAATAAGATGACATTTCTGAATCTGCAAAACTAAGGGAGCTAGATTCTGGCTGGGAGGTGTTAATAGCAGTAACTATGTAGTAACAAGTAACGTTCCCAAGCACCTAGTGTCAAGCACTTTCCAAGCCCCGTTTTACTTAATCCACATAACAGACCTACAAGTAGGAGCTATGTGTCTTTTATAGTTGGGTAAAGAGGCTCAGAGAGGTTCAGTAACTTACACACAGACAC